TAAACTTTCTCGAATCTTTTTTTTTTTTTTTTTTTTTTTTTTTTTTTTTTTTTTTTGGCGTTTAATATTGTTCCTTCCACAAGTGGATAGGTTGCATGTTAAAAAATTACAATGTGATACATAGTATAACATTAAAAAGATTTACAATGTCTTAATATTCCTTCTGATTTCTTTGTTCCATGTTTCTTTGTTCCGATTTCTTGGTTCCATTTGTTTCTTTCTTGATTTTGTTTCCGGTTTGCTATGACATAAAGTACAGGACAGTACAAACATGATCGCTTCTCTGTTTTTTGGCCTTTCTTCTTGTGCTTGATACGCTCTTGGTTTGATAATGGTTTATTCTTTGTTGGTAGTTGTACTTGGTTAGAGTGAGTTTGGTGTCTTGTCGTTGATGGTGAAGTTGGTCGAATAGTGTAGAACTTGCGTTGAGGTGAGGCATGATGCGCATGGTGGTAGAGTTGTTCGATGAATTGAAGCTTGGGGAGATGAGTTGGGTGGGTTCTTGTGTTGAGAGATCTTTCGAGGTGAGTTGCTTTGAAGTATTGTTCATTGTGGAGGAGTAACGTTGTGACGTAGTCGAGTAATTGAGTTGGGCGAGGTGACGTTGAAGAGTGAAGTTTGCTGATGTTGCTGAGTCGATGGTTTTGAGCTTGGTGAAGTGGTGAGGTGGGCGAGGTAGAGCTGTTGGCGATTGTTTATTTTGAGTAGATGATCTTGAGAGATGGTTAGTTGATTTGCTAGTGTTTTGACGGAAGCTTCCCACCTAAGATTTCTCCTAGGTGGGTGTCGTCAGAGTGTTAGTGAGTTTGTTGGGAGCGAGGTAGATACGTTTGACGTAGTAGATGAGTTCGATTTCTTGAGCGAGGTAGTTGCGTTTGACGTAGTAGATGAGTTCGATTTGTTGGCGATAGACAGACCTCCCACCTAAGATTTCTCCTAGATGGGTGTCGTCAGGCTGAAAAATAAAAGATTGAAAAGTTAGCCACTCGTACATTTGAAGCCACCCAATACAAGTACTGGGTGACTCATCTCGAGAGCGTGTGCGTTCGAGGGATGTGTGGGAGCAACCCCACAGCGGTCGTTTGCGAGATTTGCGTGAGTTTAGAGTAGTAGATTTGACCGCCTCTCGACCCCGGCAGTCAGCCCTAAAAAGGGCTGACCAACCAAATGGCCAAGATCCGTGTAGATCCATAACAGATACTACACTTTGATCTTAGCCAAAAGGCCGAGAATCTAATATATAAAGCTCAATTCTGTATGTAACATATAACAAGTTTGTTTGTCGTTGACATACTTCGATGGATTTAAGTGTTAGATTATTATCGTGCTCATAGTCTAAATTTATGAGTTAAAAAATTACTATTGAAAGTGTTGGGAAATAATTTTCATTTTTCAAACTGATAGTAATAATTGTCGGCATGTTCATTAAACACAATTTTTAAAAATTATCATCTTTTAAAAATTTGTTAATTATGTCTGAAAATTATTTATATTTAGTCCTTTAGCACTTACTTCCCTTTGATAAATTAGAAAAACACAATTACTTCCCTTTATAAAACATTGCATTAGTGGAAAAGAATTTACTTTTTGTTACTTTGTTTTGGTGTTGAGAAAAAAATAATTACATAATTAGCGGGTATTGATCAAGTGCAAATGTTGTAGGTATTTAACGGATAAGCTTGGAGTATTATAATTGTTCATTTGGTTTGGTTTGGCAACTACGTTCGTTTAAGTGAGTGCGAAAGACTATGAATAAGTTGGGATACTATAGTCGTTTATTAAGCTGAAACAGGCGATTCTGCCCCGGGCTAGACGGTGAGCACTTTGCGTTTATGTTCGCGTTTGTGTTTTCATTGTGTTTAGGTTGGGTTTGCGTTAGTGGTTGCGTTTTGATTTGTTCTTTCTTTTTTCGTTTTCGTTTGTGTTTTTTTTCTTTGGGTTTGTGTTTGTATTTGTGTTTGTGGTTGGTTTTGCGTTTGGATTTGGTTTGTTTTCGTTTGCTTTTTTGATTGTGTTTTTTTTCTTTGGGTTTGTGTTTGTGTTTGTGGTTGGTTTTGCGTTTGGATTTGGTTTGTTTTCGTTTGATTTTTCGTTTGCTTTTTTCTTTGTGTTCGTATTAGTGTTTGTGGTTGTGGTTGGGTTTGTTGTTAGGTTTTTGTTTTCGTTTGTATTTGTAATTGTGTTAGTGTTATGTTTGCGTTTTGTTGTTTTGGTTTTGGTTGGTTGTGGTTTGGGTGGGCAATGCCGGGTTTATGATGATTACTAAACACACAGGTAATGGTCTTTAACAGAAAGGTTTTTCACAGAAGCCAGAGCAGGGCCTGGCCGGGACGGCTAGTATTTTTATATAAAACAACAGGGAATGGTAACTCGGGCTATAGACATGATTTTTAATCCATTGTAAATACTTAGTTTTAAAAATAGAATAAAATCTCGTAGACAAAAGAATTGCACACCAAGTGAACGCCAAATAAAAAAGTGCATAATAGTGCGCAATATTATTAGTACGTAATAAATTTACATTAGTTTTTTGAGAAATCGGAAGTAGCGTAAATTACTACTTCCGGACAACGGAAATTACTCAAAATTTAACAGAAGGTAGAGAATTAGATCTTTTACTTACATGTGAAATTTCATTTATCTATCTGAAATAGTACTCAGGTTATAGGCTTTTGAAAAATTCAGAGTAGAAAAAATACCACTTCCGGTTATCGAAAATCGCTCAAAAGTTGATACGGATCTACGATTTTGATAAAATACTTATATATGAAAATTCATCAACCTAGCTGTAACGGTACTCAAGTTATCGTGTTTACACACGGACAGACAGACAGACAGACACACACACAGACATACGGACAGAATTGCAAAGCCCAGTTTTTCGGACTGGATTACGCATAAAACCTCTTAATTTTGATAAATCTGGATTGATAATTTTTGCCCGATTAAAATAAGTCCTCTATACTTCGGATGTGATGAAGGACTGAGATGTAATACGGTGAAAATTGTTAAAATATCAAGTAATTTTTGTGCACGATTACAATACTTTCTCTATACTTCGTATATTCGAGAAAGTAAAAAGTAGTTTTCAACTTCTACACCAATCTTTATTTTTGTCATCCAAAAAAAATAAATAAATAAAATAAACCGCAATGAATCTGTTTGTTCATTTTATGTGGCGTTTTGTTGAAGTAAGATGTATTTATTTAGGTGTTGCGTTTTTTCGTAATAGTATGTTAAATGTTATTTTTTATGAGTAAAAGTTAACACTAGGCCTACCTCACCATCAACAAGCGATCACAAAACTGAAGTTCCTTATAACCCCCCCCCCCCCTCCACACCACCGCCCTCTTCCGCGTGGTCGTCATGAATGGATGACCCAGTAGGGGACTGGGCAGGAATTGAGCTCTAAGAGGAACTCTAAAGGGGTGAGGTGGGGTTTGTGGAGGATTAGTGGTGACAGTGCAGACGACAGAACTTTTCCAAAGTTTATGTTATGTTTATGATTAAATTTAGGCTTAGCTTTCTAGTTATACATTAAGTTGGACATGAATAAATTTATTGGCCTACTACAATCATTTCAATCTTTTACTTATTTTGGAAAATTTCTGCTCTAGAATTGATTTATAAGTTGCCACTAATGCTGCCGGCTACCAAATGTAAAGCTTTATATTATTGTTCTAATGAATATCTAATATTGGGTTGTATGTATAATGACGTGAAGGCCAATGGTGATTATTTTTTTTTTTAATTCTAACATATTTGTGTATAGAACCGAAAATCGCTCATAAGTAAAAGAAAAAAAAAATAAGATAACTTCAAAAGAAGATCAAAAGAATAGAATTTAACACTGTATCTTTGTGAATAATTCGTGTTGAAGTGAAAAGTATTGTTTATATTATTTTATGCTGTAGGTTTTATGTAATTTAATTTGTTGACTTTAAATCTTTGGTTAAAATTTATGCTTAGGTTTAGCCTTAGAATCAACAGAATATTTAGCTAATGACTTAGATTTTAATCTTGATAAACTGATGTTTATATATAAATTTTAGTTTTTATATGAATTTATGTTGTGGAATTGAGTTTGATTTCGGCTTGGGTGTTGATTTAGGGATACCATTTTATTTGAAAATTAGCTTTTGTTAGTTTAATTAATAACCCTAGGTTTCTCAAAGTAAAACAAACTTTGGTACGGGGTGGTTGTAAGTTGTGTTATTTGTACGGGACGACGTATGCAGGGGTGTGCTTAACGTGACCAAACGGCATGGAAGAAAAAAACAGCCGGCCTTCTTAATATGTTCGTGTCCTTAAGGCTTTGCTATACAACCCTACAGAGTTTCAGGTGAGGCCGGCAAGGACTTTTTTCTGATATTTATATATATATACATATATATACATATATATATATATATACATATATATATATACATATATATATATACATATATATATATACACATATATATATATACATATATATATATACATATATATATATACATATATATATATACATATATATATATATACATATATATATATATATACATATATATATATATACATATATATATATATATACATATATATATATACATATATATATATACATATATATATATATATACATATATATATACATATATATATATATATATATATACATATATATATATATATATATATATATACACACATATATATATATATATATACATATATATATATATATATATATATATATATATATATATATATATATATATATATATATATATATACACATATATATATATATATATATATATATATATATATATATATATATATATATATATATATATATATATATTTGTGTGTGGTCACATGTTGGCTTTGCTGCCGATCGGCATTTTCCCTGTCGGCAAGTGTCCTAAAAACTGTTGACAACTTTCTTTATAATATAGACAAATTCTTATTTTTGTACTTGTCTAATCAAAACAAAAGATCCCACAGGCTTGTGACATTTTTTTATTTTATTATTTGAACACATCATCCACAAGTTCATGCCACACCGCACATTCTATATACAACTTCAAATAAACAGAAGGTTGACCCCCTGAGATCCCCTAATAAAATCTTTCTTTGAGTGATGACTGAAGGTGATGAGTGAGAAGGAATGTTGTAAACATGGCGACGTCACCCACTGAGATGAAGGGATCGTGCGCTGATTGCGATAATCCACTGAGTGACTGATACAGTACATTGTCTGAGAGGTATTACTGACCCAATAAAATAATTCATACACACTGACTTCACTCAAGTCACATGATGTTTGGAATACTGAGAAAATAAATGATGAATACTTTGCTGAAACAAGACAATGATAACACATGTATTCAACAGCTTCTGGCGCTCATGAAGAATATGGCTAATGCTAAACGAGCTTTCCGTACTCCCTGGGTTTCTCTCTTTGAGTTTTGAGTTTATACAACGCTTTGTATTCTTCACTAGAGACATGACCAGACCTCAGGAATAGATAGTCCAGTCCGGATAACTCGGACATGAGCATCAGTTTACAATCTTTCTCCGTGACGTAAAACGAATCGTGCCATTTTGTCTGTGCGACGTAATACGAAGAATAATCCGAACAGCTTTCTTTAACGTCCAGAAGTAATTGCTTGTAGTGCGCGAGTTCGTGGAAAAATTCCGGTTTCTGAGCGCTGAGTTTGGCGGTGAACTTCCTGAGGAAGTGATGGTACACGGCGTAGTCTAAGTGGTTGTATTTCCGGTGGTTTTCATAATCGGTGTCGGTGAAGTTTCTCTGCGGTTTTTTCTTGTTGGCGTTTTTTGGAATGTACAAAATATCTTTAATACTCCAGCACAACTCGTGTTTGAGAAGCAGGAGCGACTCGTCGAAGTGCTCCAAGATCATGACTAGCTTAAAATCTTTGTCCATTTGGTCTAGGTAAGCGTTAAGTTTTAAAGGGCTGTAGTATTCGTCCCGGCTTAGTCCTAAATCCTCGGATTGTTTATTTTTTATATAGGAAAAATGGGACTGTACCCGTTCAAACGCTTTGGGATTAGACAGGTACAAGGATATAGGATTTGTGGCGTTGCGCATTTTTGCAACTCTGGACGCAAAGTATTTGTCAACACGGTAGTACTCAAATGTGGAGACGAACTGCTGGAAAGGTTCCCGTAGAATGGAAATGTAAGCCGTGTCTTCAGGCATGATGAGGTGGAATGCTGTCCTGTTGTAGATGGCGTGGTTGAATAGGATGTTGTATTGTTTACCAGGTGGGAGCGGCACCACCTTGTCCTGGGTGAGTACATCGCCCGCACGTGATATGTAGTTGTAGCCGTAGCTGTGGAACTTGGTGTTGGGGAGCGCGAAGCTCAAGTAGTTCAGGATCCCGTAACGCTGTAGGATGTTGGCGATCGTGGAGCTACCGGCTTTGTGGACTTTGACGAAAGCGACGTTGGTGATTGGCTTGCAGGGAGGGGGCTGCCCGGTGACGTTGCCGGGGCTGAAGTCCAGGTACCTGACCTGACCCATGAGCTGCCTGTCGTCAGGGGTGGAGACTTCCAGGTCTGGGTCCTCTAGCCGGACCCTGGTCAGGTCGATGACCAGGGTCTGTGTGATTGTAAGGGAGAGTATCACACTCAGAACGATAATGAGAAAGCTGGGGAGAGAATATAAAAACATTAGGAAACATTATAAAAATAATATTGTGAGTCGTCTTACTCTGAACCAACATTTTAAAACATTGCTGCTTCTAATGTATCATCTTCTATATATATAATTCTCTACGTGAACACCACCACGCACGCAAGCCGACTATCTAACCCTCCTTCTGCCACCTTATCGCTATCGCCTCTACCCCCATCAGTCTGGTGAGCTGTGGTTCACGCCGAATGTTTACAATCGTAGAGCCGGGTCGAATTAGTGACAGCTATTAGGGGCAGATAATTTAGTTTTTAAACGATTTGAAACTAAGCGGAGGTAACAAGTTCTGCTTGATCTTTTCAATGTCGTCTGTAAACTGTCGTCACGGACGGCTGCTTTCACAGGGGGTGGGGTAGTATCGAATTCACAAAATATGAATTACTGAGAAGTAGAAAATTCGTAATGTTTTGTTTTCTTTAAAGCATTTTTGAAAGAACTGGTAAACCCATTATACTAGTTATATTTTTTAACCAAGGATACAAAATCACAGAAACGTGTACTGAAGTCTAAATTCATTTTTAATTCACATCCTTATGAAGAATGTGACGAAAACATCATTTAAACGTAATTAATATAGTTTCAGCGCCACGGTAATCAATTATTGTTGTAAAGCCTAGACCAACAAAACGAATTACACTGTGGTCTTCTACGAGCGAAATTTTAATATAATGTATTACTAGATAAATTAGCCGTTTCGGCTAGGTTCTGCCCTAGCTACATGACAGGTTAACGAGGTTTTTTTTTTTAAATTTGTCTATGTTAAGCGGTAGAAACTATGCCTCAGATATTTAGACTAATGTTATTTCGTGGCCAGTACTTAGAAATATGATAAACATAAGATTTCTACGCGTAGAAAGGTTATATCTACAATAGAAATGAGCACCCAAGCTTAACAATATTTCTGCTATAAACGTGTACAATATTCCCTTTAATACCGCTTTAACAAATTCGTCCTATTTGAAACGCATTCATTACACTACACCACCAGGAAAATAATTACAGCGCAGAATTATTATTTTTAAATGAGTTTCGGAATAAATTTTAAAAAACTATTTTTTACTAAATTTCTTCATGGGAATGGCAAGTTAAACATTTCAGCATCCCCCACAGAGCCTCAACGCCGATGGTGTGGTAATTGTAAGATAAATAAACCCGTAT